TTAGCAATAACTCCAACTACTGCCTCCAAAAATAGCGCACTTTTGGCTGGTAGCGACGCAATGGGAATTAACACCGTACCAAAATGGATGGAGTCACGCGTACTGCCTAGCAGAGACATTCGGATCGGATAAGGATCAACATTCCTATTAGGTTAAAAGTTTTTCTGCTTTACCTTTCTTAAACTTGAACAATTTTCAATAACTCAGAGACAATCAACTAAAAAGAAAATGATAACAGGCATTCTTATGCCATTTAAGCAATTCTCTTCGGGTACTATATACTTTATATAAAACTAGGAAGGAAAGGGCAGGAGCCACTTCCATATCAATCCCGGAAGAAAGCATGGTTAAATCATAACTTCTGCGGAAGGCCCGGTGAATCAAAGGCAAGATGAACGGGAGACCTAAACGAAATTGACGAACGGTGCGAAAATGAAGCGGAAATGTTTCATGCCCTTGGAAAATACGGCGTAATATCATCTTTCACTGAACGGAGGATGGCATTTGTGAAGTAAAGCCAGATAACGCGGTGAATGACAAGAGCGGCTCTTCGGCAACTGTCAGTAAGGTAGAAGACCGTTGTAATACTGGAAAGCGACATCGGAACACCGGATGGAAATCTGTCTTAGAAAACTAGTGTGCGAATGCCGTAGATTTGAAGTTGAATACAGTTATTTCAGTTTGCAAATACTTTTGAACCACGAGTAAAGCGGTATCTTCAGAGAGCTGGTGCTCACCTTATCCGCTGATCCCGTAGCCAAAATGTATTCGCTGTACGGGTTAAATGAGAGACAGTTCACCTCCGCCGTATGAGCGTCCACCGTGTGAGCAGGTCTGGCTGTACTGTTACTTCTGGTGTCCCAGCTGAAAAGCAAAGTTTCACACAGAGACAAACTGTTTTGTTTCATGGTTATTTGTCATATCGTGATACCGCTACAGCCACTAGAAAGGCCCTACATGTCGGAACACGAAATGTTCTGTGTTGAAAAAATACCGTTTCGGCTTCTGAAAGCTCCGAAGTCCAAAGTAATCCCTCTGTCCTGGGTTAGAGCCGTAATTTATCAAATTATACATTTATTTAATTACTTTATCATTGATTAAACAGTGAACAACTGTGATGTGTCAAGATATCAAACAATTTCATCTCCTTCATTCAGTGAAAATCTAGTCACAACTATTGTTAAAGCAGGCGTCTTTCTTTCATTGCAAGCCACTAGTTAAAGTCACGAACCCATCCGATTTTGCGTTCTTGACTTAGATTCACCAATACAGCCTGTGTGCAGAGCATCCTAACAACAAAATACCTTTTCGGAGTAATTTCTTTAGATATCAGTTTCGGGACGCTACATATGTTTTTGAAGAAAATATCCCTTCCTTCAGTTCTGTCACGAAGAAGAACACTTACAACTCCAGACGAAGGATCCAACATCTGTATTAATCTCCCCTAAGAAAACATGCAATATTTTCAGACTGCTGTCTACTTTTTGAGGAAAAGATGAATCATAAGATAGGAATGGAGTGCAGATTAGGACTATCTTTGATGGATAACATCATGTAACAAAGAAAATAACATCTTTCATGTCAAAGCAAAAGGCATTCAGTGTCATAATAATGTCTAGTTTTACACTGATGCCAATGTCTCCTTGCATAAAGGTTATACAGTCAGCGAAGAGATCACGATAAAACAT